ATAAAGCTACAGTAATCCAGACAGTATGGTATTGACAAAAGAATGGACAAATAGATCAATGGAACAGAATAGAGCCTAGAAATAGACCCACACAGTCAACTGGTATTCAACAAAGGAGCAAAGGCAATACAATGAAGCAATGATCGTCTTTTCAATAAGTAGTGCTGGAACAACTGGACATCCACATGCAAAACAATGAATCTAGAAAGACATTACACCCTTTATAAAATGACACCCTTTATAAAAAATCACAGGCCTAAAGATTAAACACATAATTATCAAACTCCTAGAAGATAACTTAGGAGAAAACCTAGATGACCTTGGGTATGACTTCTTAGATACAACACAAGGTACAATCTATAAAAGAAATTGATAAACTAGACTTTATTAAAATTAAAAACTTCTGCTCTATAAAACACAATGTCAGATGAACAAGACAACCCACAGACTGGAAGAAAATATTTTCAAAAGACCCATTTGAAAAAGGGCTATTGTCTAAAATATTCAAAGAACTTTTAAAACTCAATAAGAAGAAAATGAATCCGATTTAAAATTGACAACAGACCTTCAGGCAACTCACCAAAGATATACAGATGGCAATAAGCATATGAAATGATGGTTATTATATGTCATTAGGGAATTGCAAATTAAAATGAGGCACAACCACATACCTATTAAGAATGGAGTAAATCCAAACCACTGACACCACCAAAAGTGGAAGAGCAGGAACTCACTTATTGCTGGTAGGAAGGCAAAATGGTACAACTATTTTGGAAGACAGTTTCTAAGAAACATAAACATACTCAACATATAATCCAGCAATTGCACTATTTGGTATTTACGTACCCAAATGAATTGAAAACTTATGTTCATAGAAAAACTTGCACACAAATGTATATAAAGCAGCTTTATTCATAATTGCCAAAATTGGGAAGCAACTCACTTGTCAGTCAGTAGCTGAGTAGATAAAACTGGGCACATTTTGACAATGGGCTGTTGTTATTCAGCACTAAAAAGAAATAAGCTGTCAAACCATGCAAAGAAAGGGAAGAAACTAAATGCAAATTCCTATGTGAAAAAAGGCCAATCTGAAGAGTTTACATATTAAACGATCTAAATGTATAACACTCTGGAACTATGGAGACAATTAAAGGTCAGTGGTTGCCTGAGATTGGGAGTAGGGGAATGAACAAAACACTGAAGATTTTTCGGGCAATGAAACTATTTTGTATGATGAATATATGTCATTATTCATTTGTCAAAACTCATAGAATGTACAACACTGAATAAACTCTAATGTACATTATGGACTTTGAGTGATAATAATGTATCAATGTAGGTTCATTGAATGTACCAAATGTACCACCTGGTGGGGATGTTGATAGTAGGGGATGCTGTACAAATTCAGGAGCAGAGACTATATAGAAATTGTAATTTCCACTTAATTTTGCCATCAACTTAAAACTTCAATAAACAATATAGATGGAACATAAAATATATTGTTCAATAAGTCTAAATAAAGTCAATGAAGTTTTTAAAGAGATGAGACTGGTAAAATCCAAATAAGGCCTGCAGTTTATGGAATGGTATACCAAAGTCAATTTCTTAGTCTTGATACTAAGACTAATTTTACTATGGTTAAGTAAAATGTTATCATTTGGGGGAAATCAGTGATGGAACTCCAATACTTCCATAACATTTTGTGAATCAAAACTACTTTGAAATTTAAAAAGATTTTTGAGGAAAGATAAGATTTGTCAAATGTGGAAGGCTATTATTTATCAAGATTTGTAAATACCTTAAGCGACTAATCTAGCTTTTTTTGGTGGTAATAAGATTTACATCTCTGTGTAAAAAACACTTTGATACTCCTTGTTCTAAAAAAATATGACAAACCTTATTTCTATAAGCTCAGTATACAGTTTTAGGCATAGATGATGAGAAATTCTGAATGAGGGAATAAGTTTTATACAATTTTCTTAGAAGAGTAAACTAAAAAGTAGTACATATACTCTGATGGAAGGATGATCTGATATGGGAAAAACCAAGAGAATGCAGACCACTAAGCTCAATACTCTTGTGCCTATCCAATGGTACAGCTTTTGTCATGACAAATAAATTTAGCTTTTCAATTCTACAGATTTAAAGTCATTAAACATTTTTAAAGGTTACTGAAAATCTCTGAACTCTTTGCTTAAAATAGAATCAATGTAATTTATATAAGCCATTATTACCTTTTTATAGTCATGTTTTTCTTCAAAGTAGAATAAATTTTATTTTTTTAATCTTTATAAAGTATTACATGTCCCCATTTTTCCACCACTGACCCCCTCCAGCCTGCCCCTGCACCCCCCGCCCCAGGCCTTCAGCACCCTATTGTCTGTGTCCATGGGTTATGCATATATGCATACAAGGTTTTTGGTTGATTACATCCCACCCATCCATCCTCCCCATCTTCCCCCTAGATTCTGCACTCTGTTCCATACTTCCATGTCTCTGAATCCACTCCATTCATTGGTTTATTTTGTTACTTAGATTCCAAATATGAGTGAGATCATGTGATACTTATCTTTCTCTGACCTATTTCACTAAGCATGATACTCTCCAGGTCTCTCCATGCTATCTCAAAGGGCAAGACATTCTTCTTTTTTTATTGCTACATAGTATTCCATGGCATAAATGTACCACAGCTTTTTTTATCCACTCATCTTCTGCTGTACACTTGGGCTGTTTCTAGACCTTAGCTGTTGTAAATTGTACTGCTATGAACATTAGGGGTGTATACATTCTCTCTGATTGGTGTTTTTGGGTTTCTTAGGCTATATTCCCAAAGTAAAATAAACTTTAATTCAATGAGTGTAGCTCCATTACAGGTCATGAAATTCACACTTATTTATTAAGCAAATGTTTAATTTAATAAACAAACATGTACATCAAATAAAAAAAAAAACACACATACATCATGAAATAGTTTAAATACTCATGGTGATTATAGATTTTTTTAATGTTTGTTTTTTTAATTGATTCCAGAGAAGGGAGAGGAAGAGAGGGATAGAAACATCAATGAGAGAGAATCTTCTATCGGCTGCCTCCTGCACACCCCCTACTGGAGATCAAGCTCACAACCTGGGGATGTGCCCTGACTGGGAATCAAACTGTGAATTCCTGATTCATAGGTCAATGCTCAACCACTGAGTCACACCGGCCAGGTGTGATTACAGATTTAAAATGCAGTTTCCCTTTCAAAGATCAGGACATCTAGAATGTTTCACCCACTAAATTATCTCAAGAAACAAAATAGAAGACATTTTAAAAAGGAAAATGACAATTTCAAAATAAAAAGTGACTCTTCCCCTCACTTCAAAAACAAAATATTTCTAAAATGTCAAGTAGAAAGGGTAAATACATAGAAAAAACGCCTCACATTTAACCAAACAAACTTGAAAAAATCTTTAATTATATACAGAATAAAAATGAATCCAAGCAGATTTTTTTAAATTACACTTATTTCATCCTTTTTCTTCTTTATTAATATATTTTCCAATATATATTCAAAAGAAATGATAATGCTTACAAGATATGTAACATATAAAGCAAAGCAAGATCATTTATTTTCAGTAATTTCCTTTAAAAAGGGAGAGGGGAGACAGAGAAGCAAAGCCAACCATGAAGTGAAGAATAATCATAATGTTCTCAAAGCAGAAAGTGTGTTTACAATAGCAGGCTGCCTACTTAATTCTGACAGGAGCAAAACCAGGATGAGGCAGGAAATAACAGGGGGGACTAAATAGATGACACTCCTAAGATTATCTACCTTGTCTTCAGTTTTTCTTTTGACTTCTTTTTTTTTTAATATATTTTATTGATTTTTTTACAGAGAAGAAGGGAGAGGGATAGAGAGTTAGAAACATCGATGAGAGAGAAACATCGATCAGCTGCCTCCTGCACACCCCCTACTGGGGATGTGCCCGCAACCAAGGTACATGCCCTTGACTGGAATCGAACCCAGGACCCTTCAGTCCGCAGGCCAACGCTCTATCCACTGAGCCAAACTGGTCAGGGCTTTCTTTTGACTTCTTACAAACTATATAAAAGTAACAAAAGACTGCTCGTTCCCAGTGGAGTCAATAAAAAATAAAATGGAAAAATGTATCTCTCACTATGTTCCACTAATGTTTTACTTATAAAATGAGAAGAGCTCTGGCTGGTGTAGCTCAGTTAGTTGAGCATCGTCCCATGTATGGAAAGGTCTCTAGTTCAATTCCTGGTCAGGGCATATGCCCAGGTTGCTAGCTTGATCCCCAGTAGGGGTCATGCAGGAGGCAGCGATTGATGTTTCTCTCTCACATAACCATGTTTCTCTCTCTCCTCCTTTCCTCTCTCCCTAAAATCAATTAAAAAAAATTTTTTTTTGAAAAAAGAGAAGAAACGTAGAGAAATCTATACTCCCACCTCAAATTATTTAAAGATAATCATAGTTTAAACCAATCTTTTAACTATAATAGTAATATTCCATTGTAAAAGAATGGTCTGAAAATCATTTACTCATGTAATAACCTTCAGTAATTGTTTTTAATTTTTTTTTTTAAATCCTTACCCGAGGACATGCTTAGAGAGAGGAAAGGAGAGAAACATCAATTGGTTTCCCTCTGCACATGCCCCAACTGGGGACTGAATCCTCAAACCAGGCATGTGCCCTAACCAGGAATTGAACTGGCATAGGATATCATCCAATCAACTTAGCCACCTCACCGGGCCTTCCCTTATAAGTTATTATTATTTTTAAAATATATTTTTATTGATTTCAGAGAGGGAGAGGGAGAGGGAGAGGGAGAGAGAGATTAAAACATCAATGATGAGAGAAAATCATTGATCGGCTGCCTCCTACATGCCCCCTATTTGGGATCAAGCCTGTAACCTGGGCATGTGCCCTTGACCTGAATCGAACCTGGGATCCTTCAGTCTGCAGGCCGCTCTATCCACTGAGCCAAACCAGGTAGGGCGCTTATAAGTTGTATTTTAAGAAACATTTCCTCTTTAATCATCCAAAACCCCATGCAAAAAGATGAAGTCTCACCCATAGTACAGATGTATGCCATTACAAACTGGGAACATAGTCTAACTTGCTCCTCTATGAAAATATTATAGACACACTAATAAATATCAATGGATTAAATATTACATCTGATCTTATCTTCCACATAAATTGAGATAGAAGGGAAGGCAATGGATCAAAGTACTTAAAATAAAACAATTCTTTTTCTAGAGATTCCTTAAATTCCACTTTTCAACTTTTTGTGCTAATTTACACCAGACACATTACCATTTTCTATGAAACAAAGTTTCCAGTTAAGAAATCCAGTTAAAAAACTAGTCAACAATGAGATGAGAAGCACCAGGAAAAAAGCCAACCTGCTGAGGAGGATAACAGGGGAAAGACAGAGAAGCGTGGGTCCTTTGTGATATAGGACCTTTAGCCACTATAGTGATTCTGGAACCATCTACCTCCAGACTTCTTGCCATGAGAGATAATTAAATGTCTGGTTTTTATACAAAGGAAGGAAGGAAGAAGGAAGGAAGGGAGGGAAGGAGGGAGGGAGGGAGGGAGGGAGGGAAGGAGGGAGGGAAGAAGCTGGTCATAAACTTTCATATAGGACTCATAAAAAATCATTTTTTCTTGGAACAAAAATGGTTAAACACTTGGGTTTTCTAAAGAGACTTGTATAAATACAAAGCTACAAAGATACACAAAGCTGAAGTGTCTGGAATCATTTTTCTCCCTGAAGTCTTCAGCAAGATCACAAAGTGCTCAAAAATTCTTTGACCTGAGAGGAGGAAAAACATATTAATATAATTATTTGACTAATTTGAGATAAATAATATTCATCTTCATTTAAAAGTATATAACAATTGAGGACCCACCTGTATAAATAACTCTATCACAAAGCCGTAGCATTTACTTTAAAAGATCTATACATATAAAGAGGTAATATGCTAATTGTCCGTTGCAGTGTCCCAGTAACTACCAATCTGCATACTGACAGACCAGCAGGAGGCTATGCGTGCAGCACGGGGCAGGTGGCCGGAGCCAAGTTCCTAGGGGTCTGAGGAGACTGCCTGACAGGAGCCCAGACTGCAAAGATGGAAGAGGAAGCGGCCACGGGGGAGCTCTTCCAATCCCCCTGCACGGACACCCTACCGCAGCCCCTGCACCCCCGGGGGAAGGACACTCTACCCCAGCCCCTGCACCCCCGGGGGGAAGGACACTCTACCCCAGCCCCTGCACCCCCAGGGTGATGGGGAAGCTGACCGGATGGAGAGAAGACCCAGCCTCGGGGGTAGCTGCAGCCCGCACCTCCGACTCCAGATCTCTTCCCCCGCCACCCCCGCCAGGGGCACCCACAATAGCACGCCGGTGACCACCTGTCAGTGCCCCCAGGCACCCGGGGCCCACGGCCTTCCACTGCTGGGCCCCCTCCGCTGGGGCTGGGCACACCTCTTCTCCCTACAACTCCAGACCCGGGTGGAGGCAGGCCTGAGGGGCCCCCACAGGGTCAGACCCTTCCCGCCCTCTGCCCCCACAGCAGCAGCGCCGTCTCCGCAGCAGAAGTCAGAAGTGCGCTGAACCTCGCTGGGGGCGCGACTAAACCCGCCCTCCTAGCCCACCTGGCTCCGCCCTGGGCTGGCTCCCAACCCGCTCCAGGAGACTGGAGCCCCGCCCTGAGCAGGTACAGCTGCAAAACAGCCAAGCAGGAAGGTTTGAAAGCTACTCCCCCTTCGGCCTCACCACCCCCCTAGCGCCCCCCTAAAGCCCTGCCCCCCACCAGCGCCTCCAGGGACAACCACTGCTACAGGGCTGCTGGCCAAAGCCCACTCCTCCGAGACCTGCGGAACCCTCTGCAAAGCTTCCATAGCTACAGTCTCAGGAAACAATCATGCCCTCCTCCCCTAATCAGCACCTGCTACCTGCGAGGGTACCCGTGAGCTTAGAAATAACAATCCCTTCCCGTTTAGAGATCACTTACTTGATGAAACATTTCTAGGTTTATTACCTCAGAACCTCCTCATGACAACCCAGTGAGGTAGGCGGAGAAGAGATTACAGTTCCCATGGTATATGCGTATATATTCAGAAATGAAGCTCAGAGAGGAAAAGTGTCAAGCCCAGTGGTTCCCAAGGTGCAGCACATGCCCCACAGGGTGGGCAATTTGATTTTAAGTGGGAGCAATTCGAGAATGAGTTAACAGTGAATTTTTTGCATTTCTTATGGTTCTAGGAGGCCTCGTCTACTATCCTACATAATAAAAGACTAATATGCAAATGACCGAATGGTGGAATAACCGATCACTATGATGCGCGCTGACCACCAGGGGGCAGACACTCAACGCAGGAGCTTCCCCATAGTGATCAGTGTGCTCCCACGGGGAGCGCCGCTCAGCCAGAAGCCGGGCTCATGGCTGGCAAGCACAGCGGCAGTTGTGGGAGCCTCTCCCACCTCCGTGGCAATGCTAAGGATGCCCGACTGACGGCTTAGGCCCACTAAGCCGTCAGTCGGACATCCCCCCAGGGCTCCCGAACTGCGAGAGGACACAGGCCAGGCTGAGGGACCACCCCCCAAGTGCACAAATTTTGTGCACCGAGCCTCTAGTGCAGTGATGGCGAACCTTTTGAGCTCGGCGTGTCAGCATTTTGAAAAACCCTAACTTAACTCTGGTGCCATGTCACATATAGAAATTTTTTGATATTTGCAACCATAGTAAAACACTTATATTTTTGATATTTATTTTATATATTTAAATGCCATTTAACAAAGAAAAATCAACCAAAGAAATGAGTTTGCGTGTCACCTCTGACACGCGTGTCATAGGTTCGCCATTACTGCTCTAGTGTATTAATAAATACTTTAGTAGTAAAAGCTGAATGACATAAAATGTAATTAAAGGAGTTATTCAATTTAGCCTAAGATTGATATAGTTCTATAACAGCCATAATCTCTAGTTTTATAATCTTTAATTTTATAATCATAATTTTATCTCTTTATAATACCTCAGACCACTGACATGTGCAGCTTTAGTATTGATAACATTAATAACTGCAATGGTTTAAACAATTCTGAAGGTTCAGACACGTAACATATCTGTAATTTTTCTTTTCTTGCAATATTTCCCCCTCCCCCAGTTAATTTTCTATAATTTCTCTGACGCACAAATTTGAATCTTATATATACTCTAATGTTAAAGTATGAGGAAAGGTAATATAAGCAGTGACTGAATCTAGCCAACTAACCAACAGCACAGTAACAAGATTCTATTCTCTTCACGTTCTAGACTACACAGTAATTCTCCTGAATAGACAACAATTATTGCCATGTAAAAATATTTCAAAAAGAAAACCAACTGCTAACATTATTAATGGAGACAAAAAATAAATAATACAAAATGATTTCTAGTCAATCTTCACAGAAATGTTACAATAAAATTTTAAAAAATGGTTTTACAGATTCATTTCCGTTAAAATGATGGTTGGCTGTTAGTGCTTCAATGGCTGACTTAATTTATTTTAATAGTTATCATTTAAGTGAATTCCATCCTATATTTTTAAATATCATTTATAATAAGAAAGAAGTCACTTGAATTTTCCAGATATGCTTTAATTTATATGATGGAAAAACAAGTATCTGCGATAGTAGTTATCTAATATGTTGAGGTTTTAAAAATTCTTGAGATATATCCCTTAATGAATGTCAAGTACCTATTAGGAAATAGCAAACATTTTGTGACAGGAGAAAAGAAATGTCAAATTTATCTCAAAACTAAATGAACACAAAAGTGTGGTTTCTTTAGACCTTAGATCACTAATTTAATTAACACAAATACATAAATATTTGTTATATACTTCTCATGACTATTCTCTCTCAAGCATTCATTAATAAGTTCTCTCCCAGTATCTTTATCAATAAAGGCATCACTCACTTAAATAGAATATACCAAACATCTGGGGCATAGATTAACTCTGATTAAGACAATGACTCAATGATTAGACAATGACAATTCATCATTGACAAGATCCCAAATAGCCAGGCCAGCATGGCTCAGTGGTTGAGCAGCGACCTATGAACCAGGAGAGGTCACGGTTCAATTCTAGGTCAGGGCCCATGCCAGGGTTGTGGGCTCGATCCCCAGTCAAATAAATTTCAAAACTAAAACTCCTTTCATCTCAAGACTTCAGCTAACATAAAAATGGATAAGATCTGTATTTTACAATTTCAAGTATTCTTCATATTGAATTTAGTTGAAAAAATAAACAAATAGTTTATTATTAAAATGGCTAAAGATTGGTGGTATAGGGAAAGAGGAAAAAGCAGAGAAGCAAACAAGAACTTTTGTGAATATTCCTGTATCTCAGATAAAGGAACTAAAGGATTAAAAAGCTCCTTATTTTAGGTAAGGCCACAAAGCTAGAATTACAAGTTAGGATTACAATCTAAATAGTCTAAATCCCTCTAAAGCTTTTAATTGCCCCTTAATGTAACTTTATGTAGTCATTTCTGTTAGAAAATTGTTTTCTCACAAATTAGAATACCTTTTTAGACAAGACCAAGCAAATACTAGTTTATACTCTTTGTATAAATCTACCTTTTCAACCAGACTGTCGTGTTTGTCTTTAAAGTCTTCATTAACATCCAATATTAAGACAGGCACTTCTTGTAGATAATCAAAGTTGGTTCTATTTAAAGAGTGATGAACAAAACAGTTAGAAAAAGCAATAAATAAGAGAAAAACGAAAAACTCATTATTATAACACAGAAAAATCAAAATGTCAGTCATTTTTCTATTAAAGTTATTCTGTAAGTACTTCATCGGACAGCCCCTTCTTTCTCACCTAGATTTACGTACACATATCTAAAAATCTCAGGTATAATATATAAAGCTAGGCATTGTGATATGTAACAGTCCTCAAAAACCAAAAACATACTGCATAGGAGGAATGTTTGCATTTTAAAGATAAAACTAAAATTCAAGGAGACCACTCTGAAACTCAAGAGATTGTCCAAGGTACATACTCTTAAAAATTATGCTATACTACCTCCCAAGTCTTGATCTAAGAAACAAATGTGAAATATTTTACTTTAAAATAGTCTCTGAAAGAGAGTACCTAAATAATATACACAGATATATTTCCTACTTTATCACTTAATGTGAAATTCCTTATATTATGCTATCAATACCACTGGGGGAAATTAGCTATAAAAACTTTAAGGAAATGGATCTCATTGAAATAAAAAGAATCAAAATCCACACCTAATTTGAAAATAAAAAATTGGACATATTGTACATTTTTAATTAAAATTTGACAGAAGTATTAAAAATGAGTAGTAAATAAGAATAAGGAAGTCTTACTTCAGTGTTCTGTGCAGGAGCCAGCTTTCATGCTTGTAGTGAAGCTTCTCTAAATATTCAAGAGGAATGCCTTGTTCTTCATTTCTTCCCCGTAAATATATTCTACTCAAGCATTTCTAAAAGCAAGCAATAAGAAGAGAGGGTAACCCTGGCTGGTTTGGCTCAGTGGATAGAGCATCGGCCTGGGGACTGACGGGTCCCGAGTTCGATTCCGGTCAAGGGCACATGCCTGGGTTGCAGGCTCGATCCCCAGTAGGGGGTAGGGGGCATGCAGGAGGCAGCTGATCAATGATTCTCATCATTGATGTTTCAATCTCTCTCTCCCTCTCTCTTCTTCTCTGAAATCAACCAAAATATATTAAAAAATGAAAAAGAAGAGAGGGTGGGGGGGACAATTATTCTTGTCTGGTGCCATTAAATTTTTCTTCTTTAGTGTCTTTTTAGTCATGCTAACGAAAATCTCTATTCCTTCCAAGAACAAACAATAGTTCCTTTTTCCCTCCCTATACTTTTCAACGATTTGGTGGATCTAAACCAAATAGCACTTTCAAAAATAAGTCTATAAACCTTTGGCACCCACATTTGAAATGTATTGTCTAAAATAAGTTTGATGAAAAGAAAAAAGTTCAGAATAAAACTGTGCTGCTAATTCTATTATAAATTCTCTTTTCAAATAATTAAATGATCCTCTAATCAAAGGATATCATAAATAATATTAATGAAATAATAGATTTATATTAGACTTTAAGATATTATCTGTTTCTAACAATGAAATTATCATTATTCTTTCTTCTATATTTGCATTTATTTTCATAATTAAAAAATTATTTTCAGAAATAAAAGTAAATTTCAAAATTATTATTAAATTCTGGTTTACTTGATATTAGAAGAACAAAATCATCACTTAGAATCAAAAACATAGTTCCTTTGAAAATTGAGCTTCAATATAACACAGTATTCTTTCAGGCTAGGAGTTGTAACATTTACATTCATCAGAACCTACTTTGTGACTCAAGGAATAAGTAGAAATAAAAATCTAAGAAAAATGGGAATGCAAGCACCAAAACCAGAAATTTAATAAATGTAAGCTCTCATTTAGGTTAGTTTTATGAAAGGCATCCCACTTGGTCTTCCTGCATTCATTACATAATTTCATATGTAAACAATAGCTATGTTACAACCTATGATGAAAGGCACAATTTCAAGTAAACTCCCTTAACTAAAAATGGCAAGGGTCCACTAAGTCTCTTCTCAACTATAGCTGCTACTACCCACCCATTCCAAACCAAAACCACGAAAGATTTCCTCTTATCAATTTTGCCATTCATTCAGCAAATATTTACTGTGTATCCAAGGCTTATTCTAGACAGTGAAAATTCAACAGTAATTAAAATATCCAAAGTCTCACCTCATGAAGCCCATATTCTAGAAGTTGCTTAAGCAAGTTTCTTAATCTAGTTGTGATAAGATACTCTGCAAAAGTTAAGAAATAATGAAGAACAGAACTGAGATAGAACAAACAAGAACCTAAAAGAGCAACCTGCCAAATCTGGGTTTCTAGTTTGCTGAGAAAATAGAATGCTTCTATCTACACAGTTCTCAGTTTTTAATTTGGAGGTAGGAATCTAGAGGGTTGAGAGTGAAGTTTATTATTCTGCCTTCACTGCATAACACTAAAAATTTTCTAAATATTACTTTAAATTTTCAAAGGAACAAGCAAATGTTTATTAAGTCTCACCTCTGGACTAGCTCGAAGATAAATGATTCCATCCAGTTCAAGGCTTTGGCCAAATTGGTTATTCATCCAGTCATGCCAGTCCTGATAAATTGTCCACTCTGTTTCATTCATACATTCAGATTCATACAAATTAGATGCAAAAATATACCTGAAAGAGAGTTTACATAAATCCTTTCCAAAAAATACAGAGAAATAGAAAAGAGAAGATGGATCTACCAAATGGACATGGAAACTTCTCCTAAAATCTGTGGCAGATAATGCCTTGGATAACAGAAAAAAAAAACCAATAGAGTATCTCCAAATACAGAAAATTATGTATTGCCAGTGGTTCTCAGAAATGTGGTGTTAGGACCCCTGGTACACCCCAAGACCTTTCCAGGGGTTTTGTGTGAGAGGCCAGATAACTTTATACTTCAACCAAAAAAATATATTCAACAGAGTAAATACAGAACCATAAATGAGAACCCAGCTGTCCTCCATTAAATCAGGCATTAAAGAGATTCACAGAAATGTAAAATGCTCTTCTCACTATTTCTTTTTGCTTTGAAAAATGTAATTTTCACTAGTATGTTATTTATGTTTATATGAGTTTTTATAACTAACTTTAAATAAATTTTTCCATTTCTCAATCTTAATTTCTAATAACAGAAATATGAATAAGACACAAAGATCTTTGAACTTCTCGATAATTATTAAGAATGGAAAGGGGTCCTGAGAACAAAAGTTTGAGAACCCCTGTTCTGAGCTAACTCTAGAGATTAAAAGAATCCTTGCATACCCAGGGTAATTCCAAGGCCCCCTTAAAGATTTTTTACCTTCTTGCTCCAGGTGAGTCTACAATATAGTTCAGATTTAACCAGAGCAGATGAGAATTTTAAGAGGGTTGGAGGAAAAAAATTTCTCTACAAATTTGAATGAGATGGCCACATATTCCCTATAGTTTCCATGGAATCGAGAAATTATCTATAATAATAAGTATAATATGCTAATTAGACTGGATGTCCTTCCAGACGACCTTCCAGACGAAGCCAGGGCTGTGAGGGAAGCCCAGGTCCTGGGTACCAAAGGGAAGCTGGTGCTGGCAGCCAGGGGCAGGAAGGCCTACTCTTGCACTAATTTTGTGCATCGGGCCTCTAGCAAATACTATAACTTCCCTAATGCCATTAGTTTGAAACTGCTAAAAGTATTAAATGTCATTCTCCATCTCAAATCCCCAACTCAACCTCTCTTATTACTTTGAATCCAAAGAAATAGAAAGAAAAAAAAAATTCCAGTTCTAAGCCAAGGATCCAACCTAATAAGTACAAGTAATTTATATATACCTGTCACTATACACAGATCGTTCAAAAAATAATACAGGTTTCTCTGCATCTTTGATCTTGCCGTTGAGAGAGGCAAGCTGAGCTCGTATGCGACTGAGGCAGGCATATGCCTGGAAGGTAAAAGACCATCGCTCAGGTTTCTCATACATCATCTGAAGAACATTCCCACCACTTTTCTGAGATGTAGTCAGTTCCTGTTTCAAATTTGAAAAAAAGAAACAAAAAGCAAAGTTAATGATCAATAGGCTTATTTTAATTTTTTTAAAAAGCTCATAAAGAGAAGTTGGATAAATAAATGCATCATGATTAGCAAAACCAAAATGAGTAAGTCCTCTTCTTTCTTCTCTTTCCCACTGTATTTTTAGGTTACCTGAAGCCTGGAAGAATTTGAAAAGCTAGCTTAACCACCAATTCCTTAGATCTTTTTCACAAGAGGTCACAAACAGCCTATGTCAGAAATTATTTGTTTGGCCCAAATGGAACTCTTAAGACATTTAAATTAGTTGTCAATATCTAAAAGCTAAATAATTTCATATAATATAGCTGGATGTTTATCTTCTTTTTAAAAATAGGAAAACAAAGTAATACTGTGCCTGTATTTCCTCTTGGTAAAAATCAGTTAGAGCAAAGCCACATGTGCTTCACTAGGTAGGACACATGCTCTCTAGTTTATAAGCCCCACCATTCCCTGTTGAGACTCACAACTTTATGAATACTGACTGCTGGATACACAAGAGAAGTTAGCAATCAAGCACAAGCTTCCATTCTACACATAAAAATATCAGGCATACATTTTTCAAGTTGTTATTTCATCTTATAATAGTAGTAAATGAGTCAAAATTGGTATTCCTTTTTAGTTCCTGTCTGTTTTCAGTTTTTCTATTTTCTCCTTGGATGTCAGGTGGTCAACACGGTTACCTCTTTAAAGTCCCTTCCTTGACAGCCCCTTCTAATCAGAAAATAAGTTTATTAGATTGTGTCAAAAGTATAAGTAAATACCCTAAGAACCTTAATGCATAATTTTTGTGACCTCCATTTTGGCCGCAAAAGTAATGTGCTTCCTTCCTTTTCTCAGCGATTACTAATGACAACTAATTTGCATGTCCCTTATCCTGTACTTTTAACTACTGCAAGCATTCCCCTTCAAAAGAAAAGGTAGTTAAATTTGTGTTTTCAAAGAATATTTTCATCATGTATTGTTACTTAGTAAAGTTTGGCAGGTCTAAAATAATTTCATAAACTTTTAAGTAATTAACATGCATTTTTTCTTAACAAAACTTCAAAGAAGTTTTGTTAAGATACTCCTTCAAAGAAGGTCTATGAGTAGATCAAATAACATTTGCATTTACCTGCAGTGAAAAAGAATCCAATGAAACAGAAAAACCAGGTCATGTTAAATTTATTTCAATACTGACACCAGATTTTATAAGACACATTTCCTCATTTCTTCAAAAGGAGATGGAGCATATTTTTAAAATATTATTTTATTGATTTTTACAGAGAGGAAGGGAGAAGGATAGAGTTAGAAACATCAATGAGAGAGAAACATCGATCAGCTGCCTCCTGCACAACCCCTACTGAGGATAGAGCCCACAACCAAGATACATGCCCTTGACCGGAATCAAACCCAGGACCGTTCAGTCCACGGGCCGATGCTCTATCTACTTAGCCAAACCGATTAGGGCATTGATGGCATATTTTAAAGATAATCTTAATGGGAAGAGAAGGTAAGGGAGATACATCTTATATGGCACTTAGTCTCATTATTTTGCTAATATCTGTGGCAGCTTGTCAATACATAGCAACATTACAGCCACTAGGTGGCAGGTTAAAAAAAAAAGCTTAAAAAAAGAAAAACCCAAGCTAAGCTAACAGGTGAAAATTTAGGTTCTGACTAGAACAGATCAAGAGTATCAACAGCCCAATTCTTCCAGCTCTACACCAACTGCCCAGAGTGTGATTAAATGGAGAACATCCAAATCAGGACTGGCCTTGAAAGGGTTGAAACTGAAGACAGTCTACTTTACACTACTGATGATATTCTAAGAAAACTGAGATTTGGACAATGGGTGATTCACACTCTAACCTTAAGGATTAGATCAGGGATGGGTATAAAAAAAAGGTATTCAGTATGAAAAAAGGAAATCCCCTTTCTTGAGTTTAGTGGAGGTCCAGAAAAAATAAAGTATCCAGCCCAGCTGGGTGGCTCAGTTGGTTGAGCACTGTCCAGTACACCAAAAAGGTTGCGGGTTCGATTCTCAGTCAGGGCACATACCTAGGTTGCCGTTTCATCCCATCAGGGCACATACAGGAAGCAACTGATCAATGTTTCTCTCTCACATTGATATTTCTCTCTCTCCCCCTCCTCTTTTTAAAATCAGTGAAAAATATCCATGGGTGAGGATTTTTTTTAAAGTGTACAGGGAATACACTCGTCCACCACCCTCACACTCTACAATCTTGTACCCCAAAATACTATCCTCATGAGGCAGGAAAGTTAGAATAGGGAACAAAGGCCGCAAGCTCTAACCCTCTTTCAACTTGGCTGGAACATCACACACACAACCTTCACTGACCACCTGTTCCCTGAGAAGAGACAAGGATGAATGGCAACAGCAGTCACCCCACCAGTGTCACAAGCAGAGGACCATCCTATTCCACACCCCCCTTGCCCACGTTTAATAAAAACCTTCCACCCAGACCCCACTGAGGTATTCAGTATGAGGTCACCTGCTCTCACTTCTCTAGTTCAGACTATCACTTTAATAAATTTATTGTGCTTTAACTCCTGTCACACTCTTGACTCCTTTCTTATTCCCTAACAAAAACCTGGATCAAGTTGAGGTATCCCTTAACATCCCACACACTGTCTGAAACTCCACCTAGAAGTACAAAGGACTAACAACATAGTAGCTCTCAATACACACCCAAAGAAAACTATCCTCAGAGAATGAGCACCAAAATCCAATGGAGGTAATCAAATTGTAACATATGACTGGATTGCAGTAGTCTGATAAAAGTATATGTTAATAATAATAATAATAATAATAATAATAGCAGCATCTCCACAGTAGTTTTAAAGAAAGGTCAGTTTGGAAATTTGACTCTAGTACATGTGAAGAAATACCCCAGTCCATAAACACAAGTATCAGGTCCATGAAGCCAAAAGATTTTCAAAATGATGACAGATGCATCAATGTGTCACAGTATGATGACATCAGTAATCAATAATATAACTAATTCCCTGACTCTGATTCTAAACAGACAACCTTCCTAGTATAAACTGTCTTCCCATGCATATGAATGCAATGTTTGCAACATTTCCTCTCCAATATCAACCAGAGTTCAATACACTTCCAACACTAACAGTGATTCACTAGGGCAGTCATTTTTTATTATTGGTGTGTTTGTTTTTTTGAGAGCGAGAGAGACACTTATGTGAGAAACATTGATCAGTTGCCTCCCATACGAACCCTAACTGGGGACTGAACCAGCAACCTAGGTATGTGCCCTAACCAGAAATCGAACCCACAACCAACCTGAGCCACCCAGCCAGGGCAGGGCAGTCATTTTTAACCAGGAGGCATCCATAAGGAACTGCTTATTTTTAAAAGCACCCCAAATCATTGCGATTTTTAAGAGTTCCTTCTAATAGTTGAGAATTATGGGCCTACTTTGAGACTGGATTGACCTAATTCAATGAATTTGGTAATTACATTTCTCTCTGCAAATTAAAATTTTGGCATTTTGGCCCTAGCTGGTTTGGCTCAGTGAATAAAGCGACTAAAGGGTCCTGGGTTTGATTTCAGTCAAGGGCACATGTCCCAGTTGCAGGCTAGATCGATCCCCAGTAGATCAGGCAGGCAATCAATCAATGGCAGGCAATTCTCTCTCATCATTGATGTTTCTCTCTCTTTCTTTCTCGCTCTCTCTCTCTCCCCCTTACTCTCAGAAATAAAAATATTTTTTTAAAAAAAGCCTTTAACAGCCTGTATTTTTCACTTGATAATAAATGTCTATTTTTTTAAAAATAAATAAATAAAAATTAAAAAGCCTTTAAAATTTTGGCATATTGGTTTTTATATATCAGTTTCTGTTATACAGAAACTGATTAATGTGAGGTATACTGAGAGGCAGAGACATTTAATGTGTCAACAAAACAGTCATATATATTTCATGAGTTAGAAGCTTATGACATTAAAACTAAAATGGACCTTAACTGGAGGTCACCTAATCCAATCTAGTCTAACACTGCCCCAATGAAAGAATCCCGTCTCTATTTTTGACATTGTTTTAATTTGGCTTTCTACCTAACACCTGATTATAACTGCACTGACAGTTGATCCCAGAAATGGGAGTAAAGAGGCATTTTTAGAACACAAGTCTCATTTCTAAAGGTAAGCAAACTTGAGTGGGGCACTTTAGTGAAAGAGGCCCTGAGACATACTTTAGGAAGAAAGATGCAGGGTGGAAGAAGATAGAAGATTTAAAAAGAAAATGAGCAAAAGGATCTGAACAGGGACTTCACAAAAGAAATACAAAAAAACAAAATGACAAATTAATTAATTAAATAAAGGAGCACAATCTCATTAGTAATCAGGAAAATACAAATTAAAAACAAAATATATTAAACATTTAGCAGAATGCCAAAAATTAGGAAGCTGAGCAATACTAAATACTGGCAAAGATATGGAGTAGTAATAGCTTGAGTACACTGTGGGAACTGTAAACTAATAAAAACACTTTGGAAAACAAGCATCTTACGTACACCCCACTGTCCAATAATTTTATTTTATTCCTAGAGAAAATCTTGCATTTGTGCCCCAGGATTCATGTTCACAGCAGAGCTGTTTTTACAGCAACTAAGCTAGAAACCACTCAAAATTTGATCACAGGTGTAGAATGCACAAATAGTGACATATGAATACAATTTAATACTATATGGCAATGAAAATGAACAAGCTATAGCTGCATGCAACAATATGGACAATTTTCACCAACTTACCAAGCAAAAGATACAAGAGGAAAAAGAATGTAAACGGTTGATTTTGTTTATAATATTCAAAAACAGACAAAATTAAGTTGTATTTCTTAGAAACATGTTCATTTATGGTCAAATTATTTTTAGAAATCAGGAAAATTATTACCACAAAAATTATTTTATGAGTGATTATCCCAGTGGAGTTGTTCATCTAGGGAATGAACTATTGTAACTTGAGAAGAACTTCTATAATGATAGTAATGTTCTCTTTCTTGACTTGGATGATGGTTAGAAAGATAGCAGCCTTAAAATTGTTCTTCAAACTGTACATAGGTTTTATATACTTTTCTTTAGTTATATCATATGTTAATAAAAAAAATGTTGAACGAAAGAAGTGTACAAATTTGCCCATTTTAAAATTCTGCTAAAGGCTAACCATGCTTTTCCCCAGCAGAAAAGAAAATTGATCCATATAGAAATGAAGTCCCTTCAAGCCTTAGTCCTGAGTATTCTAAGGATTTGGGTGTACTGAATGGGTTCTAGACCTAAAGTTAACTACACCTGGCAAATAGGTGTGTGAGAAAATACCTTTAGTTATTCAAAATTAAACATCCTCAAAGTTTACAGATTATTTTAGATGATAGATAGATAGATAGATAGATAGATAGATAGATAAATGATAGATAGATAGATTGATTGATTGATTGATTTCAGAGAGGAAGGGAGAGGAAGATAGAAATATCAATGATGAGAGAGAATCATTGATTGGTTGTCTCCTGCATACCCCTACTGGGGATCTAGCCCAAAACCCAGGCATGTGCCCTGACTAGGAATTGAACAGTGACCTCCTGGTTCACAGGTAGATGCTCAACCACTGAGCCATGCCTGGTCAGGCAACAGATTATTTTAATAATAATTTCTCCTTGTGCCCTAACCAGTTTGGCTCAGTGGATAGAGCGTTGGCCTGTGGACTGAAGGGTCCCAGTTATTTCCAGATTCCTTATACCAACAGCTAAACTCTAAAACATAGACTTTTTTTCAATCTTCTGTCCACCTCAGCTCTAACAAAGCTTTAAGCACACATTCCCATTGTGAAGGTTTCTGCTATACAGCTATGCAGCTTTCAGTTTTAATCTTCATTTCTCCAGAAATAAAAGTATTAGCAATTAGATATCTCTCCTTCATACACATACAATAAAAAATTGTGCTATAAAAAAATGAGATTTGCCCAGCCATCATGGCTCAGTGGTTGAGCATCAATTCCTGGTCAGGGCACATGCCCAGGTTGTGGGCTCAATCCCAGTGGGGGGCGTTCAGGAGGCAGCCCATTAATGATTCTCTCTCCCTCTCCCTTTCTCTCTGAAGTCAATAAAAATAAATGTATTTTTTTAAATAAATATAACTGTTATTCCCTTTTTCTCATTCACAACATAGAATGAATAATGCTGAGAAATTGAAACTTGTGTCCAGGATGAAAGTCTGGAAAAAATGACAGTACACAGAAATGGGAGCCTAAACAGTTCATTCTAAGACAAAAGACTTAAAAAATAAACTAATAAAATTCAGTTACTGGGTAGTTTTGTTTTTCTTGTTTGCTTATGTTTTTTTAAACAAAAAGTAAAAAGCAACTCAAGGAATTTAACTTGCAACTAGATTTTTTAAAACATTTAAATTAATTTTTGAAAACTTTAAAAATTTTACTTAGATATAATCAAGTACATAAATCTTAGATGCATATTGTCCAATGTTTACATAGATAAACATCCTTGTACTACTACCCAAATGAACATAAAGACTTAAAGCTAGATTTCAAAGTTTCATTGGAAAAAGGAAAAACAAGCAAACACCCAAGAGATTAAATACTATTGCTTCTCTAAGCCAAACGGTTTTTATTTTACTTAGTTAAATTTTATTTTCATACCTGAAATTCATCTTGAGTACTTTGAACATTGCACCATCTGGCAATAGGTTCAGGAACCACTTCACAATCCTGGCAGACTTGTTTAAGGATATTCACAAATGTTGACTTCCCTGCAGCTATTGTGAAGAGGAAAAGTAAAACTGAGGAAAATAACTTATCAGGGGGAAAAAAGCGAAAATAGTCTTCAGCTTTTCAAAAGGTATAATCATGCACAGCATAACAACATTTCACTCAATGTTGAACTACATGTATTTTGGTGGTTCCCTCAAGACTATAATGACGCTGAAAAATTCCTATCACCTAGAGACACATAGATGTCTAACGTTTTAGCACAGGCATTATTCACATACTAATGGCCCAGTGCACGAATTTGTGCACAGTGAAAGGAAATAAATTAGAAGAAATATTTTAATATTGCCATTCACCCTTTCTCTATAATAAAAATGTCAACCAAATTCACGATTCACAATGATAGATTGAAACACATGCCTGCGATTGGCGCCATCAAGAGCTTTATATGTATCGCACATGCGCAAGTCAACTTAGCCTTTTATATGTATAGAATAAACTTGCTTAATTAGACCTGCTTTCTGATGTAGCCCAGTGAAGCACCCCAACTTCTCTTTCAGGTAATTACCAGCAACACAGCAGTAAATATCAACACAAAGCAGATTATCATTGTAGATCACACTGGAAGAACAAACGGTAAAATGTTTAACTGCAGCAGTGTTTGACTATATTCTGCACAGTGAGAAAACCTGAAGTCATTCTCAAGGTGCACCATTTCTTCTTTTCAGGCAGGTCAAGTTTCTAAGCTTTCGAAATCTCCGTTTTCCGGCTAATGAAAAGAAAATAGAGTTCCACTGAGTCCCCCATCTACCTGTGCAGGACTTCTGTGAGGATCAAATGAGATGAGGCACAGGGAAATGCTTCAGACATTTGGTTACAGTGTAAAATGTTTGCACCTAGCTTTGAAGCAAGTCATGTTCCTGGGCTGAAGAAACTGCAAGGAGGCTAGTTGCTAGGAAGAGGAAGATGGGCATTGCTACATTACGTCATTACGCAGACGGACACTTAGTATATTAGCCCTTTATTTATATTTATATATATATATTTGTGGTCATGCTGGTGTAAACAAATCTACTGCACTGCCACTCATAAAAATATAGCATATACAATTATGTAAAGTACATAATACTTGATAATGATAACAAATAACTATGTTACTGGTTTATATATTTACTATATATAACTTTTAGTTATTTTAGAGTTTACTCTTCTGGTTTATTAAAAAAAAACAGAACAGTCCACTGGAGTGGCTCAGTTGGTTGAGTGTCATCCTATGCACTGAAGGGTTACCGGTTCAACTCCTGGTCAGGGCACGTATAGAGAGCAGCTGATCGATCTCTCTCTCTCTCTCTCTCTCTCTCTCTCTCTCGCTTGCTCTCTTCCTTTTCTAAACATGTCCTCAGGTGAAGATTGATTAAATACATAAATAAATAAATAAATAAATACATAAATTCATAAATAAATGAATAAATACAAACTTTACTGTAAAACAATATGCTATGTTACACTGGCAACAGCCTCATGCCTCTCATGGTTGTCTTTTGATTGCACCATTTTCTCTTGTGCTTGATTTAATCTCATGTTGTTTTGTACAATAACATGCTGTACAGGCTTGTAGGCTAGGAGCACTAGGCTATACCATATAGCCAGTTGTGTAGTAGGCTATACTATCTGTGTTTGTGTAAGTGCACTATATGATATTCTCACCAAGACAAACTCAACTAACGACACATTTCTCATAATGTATCCCCATCATGAAGCAGCACATGACTATAATAGTAAATACATTAAAAAAACATTTAATTTCCTAAACTTACTTTTTAGATTTTTTAAAAATTATTGAATTTATTGGGTTAGATTGGTTAATAAAATTATATAGGCTTCAGGTATACAATTCTGTAATATATCATCTGTATATTGTATTGTGTTCACCACACCAAGTTAAATCTCCTACTATCACCATTTATCCCCCTTTCAGCTCCTCCCCAGCTCTAGATTTTTTTTTTAATGAAAACTAAAAGGGTCCCTGTCCATTCTTATTAAACACATTAGTTTTTAGTTTACCAAAACCATGGAAAAGAAAATTTAAAAACCTGGTGAAATTTTAGGCAAGATGTTATGGCGTAAAAAATCCTAGTTCTAGATTCATTTTCCTTAACCAAGCAATGAGCGATAACTTTGTGGGAAGTAGTTAAGGTTTTTCCTCCACTTATTTAGGTGTGTGATTTTGGAAAACTACCAGCCTCTCTGAGCCTGCTTCCCATAATACAATGGAGATAATAATAATACCCTCCTCATGGAAACTGCTGTGATAAGCAAGTAAACTATCACTACAGTGACAGTCTTTCTAGGCTGTCACGTTTTCAAAATTTTCCTTTTCAAACTGGCTTCATTCTCTGTTAAACAACTCAGGACTTTCCTACCTAAAACTAATTTAAAAACAACCAAATGAACAATAAAATCAACGTAAAGATGCATCAAATGCCTATAGTTTTAGAATGGAAAGTAGCATATTATTATAGGACAGTAGTAATCATATGGCACTACAGTATCATCTATATATATAAAAGGCAAATATGCTAAGTGTCCCTTTAGGTAATGACATCATGTAGCCAACACTGGGCTTCCTCTCCCTAGCAACTAGCCTCCTTGCAGTTTCTTCAGCCCAGGAACATGGCTTGCTTCAAAGCCAGGTGCAGACATTTTACACTGTAATCAAATGTCTGTGAGGCAATTTCCCATGCCTCATCTCATTTGATCCTCACAGAAGTCCTGCACAGGTAGATGGGGGACTCAGTGGAACTCTATTTTCTTTTCATTAGCCGGAAAACGGAGATTTCGAAAGCTTAGAAACTTGACCTGCCTGAAAAGAAGAAATGGTGCACCTTGAGAATGACTTCAGGTTTTCTCACTGCGCAGAATATAGTCAAACACTGCTGCAGTTAAATATTTTACCGTTTGTTCTCCCAGTGTGATCTACAATAATAATCTGCTTTGTGTTGATATTTACTGCTGTGTTGCTGGTAATTACCTGAAAGAGAAGTTGGGGTGCTTCACTGGGCTACATCAGAAAGCAGGTCTAATTAAGCAAGTTTATTCTATACATATAAAAGGCTAAGTTGACTTGCGCATGTGCGATACATATAAAGCTCTTGATGGCGCCAATCGCAGGCATGTGTTTCAATCTATCATTGTGAATCGTGAATTTGGTTGACATTTTTATTATAGAGAAAGGGTGAATGGCGATATTAAAATATTTCTTCTAATTTATTTCCTTTCAATGTGCACAATGACCACTAGTAAATTTATAAAACCTTTTTTGCAAAGTACTTCCTACAAGCAATAGCCATGTTTTCTCTACTTTATTTTCATGGTTCTGTGCAGTGTGTACTCTATCCAATCCTTAAAAAAAAAAAAAGTTATCTAATCATTCACTAGTTTCTTAGAAATTGGGGTGGGGAAGATATTTGGGTGGGGGAGATATTCAGGTATAATCAGAACACATTATATTTATAAATTACCCAGGAATACATTCAATTTAATAGTAGGAAAAGTATTGACATAAAATTTAATAGGGTGCAACAGTACTCCTAATGACCATCACACCCTTTCTATCTTAAGTCACCAAATGTGGTTATATTAGACATCTCCAGTCAGCATAATGTGTTTCTCCCCCTCTCTCCCTCTCCCCCCTCCCCCACAGATAAAAATAAAAAGCAATTTTAGTATGCTTATAAGTAAAGCCTCCTCTTCCTTATAAACTGGGTCCAAAGAGGGCAAAAAGAACTTACCTTTGACTTATAAAACTACATTCAAATCTAGGACATTAAAAAAACAATAGAAAAAAAGAACAAACTGAAAGAACTTTAAAAGATCACACACAGGGCCTAGCTGGTTTGGGCTCAGTGGATAGAGCATCGGCCTGTGGACTGAAGGGTCCCGGGTTCGATTCCAGTCTAGGGCACATGCCTGGGTTGCTGGATCAATCCCCAGTAGGGTGCATGCAGGAGACAGCCAATCAATGATTCTCTCTCATCATTGATGTTTCTATCTTTCTCTCTCCCTCTCCCTTCCTCTCTGAAATCAATAATAAATAAATAAATAAATAAATAAATAAATAAATAAATCACACACAGAGGGGGGAAAAGAGGAGGGTCGATAAGGTAACAGACAGAACAGCTGAGGAGAAAAACTTTTAAGGATAAATTAAATGACTATTGGATTTAATAATGGGAAAAACACTGGTAACCACGGATTTTGTGTGGAGAGGGTAAGCATAGGGACTGTACGGCATTTAAAAGGACAATAAGTGAAACATAAAATGATCACCAGACATTCAGTGAGGAGCAAGGGGTCCCAGATGCGAGAGCCCAGATTGCGAGATGGATGTCTACCTGCCAGCTTAGGCCCGATTCCCCTGGGGATCGGGCCTAAGCCTGCAGGCGGACACCCCCTGACGGGTCCCGGACTGCCAGAGGGCACAGGCTGGGCTGAGGGCACCCCTCCCCACCCCAGTGTACGAATCTCATGCACCGGGCCTCTAGTCCTATCGAATAATAGACAAACATGGTAATTAACCATACCTCTGCTACGCTTCCCATTGGCTAATCAGGTGATATGCAAATTTACTGCCAACAGATGGCGCGCAGCATGCAGCTGAAGCGAACATGAGGCTTGGTTGCCCCGGCGATGAAGGCAGCCAAGGTTCCCCGCCTGCTGCACCCGGCTCTGAGCCTGAAAGCAACAGCTCCAAAATGCAACTATGTTTCAATTATAGAAGCAAAACAAACCCTAGAGACCTGCTTTCAGACAGCCGGCATCGGAGCTGGAGCTGCAACAAAGTTTCAATTACAGAAGGTAAATAAATCCCAGAATAAAAAAAGAAAAAAGAAAAAAAGGAGAGACTGGCAGCTTCAGTTGCAGGCTGGGCCTGCCTGAAAACAGCCCTCAGCCCCTCATCCAGGCTGGCCAAGCACCCCAGTCGGACCCCCACCCTGAAGGGGGTGCGGGCAGTCTGAAAACAGCCCTCAGCTCCTCATCCAGGCTGGCCAGGCACCCCAGTCGAACCCCCACCCTGAAGGGGGTGCAGGCAGTCTGAAAACAGCCCTCAGCCCCTCATCCAGGCTGGCCAAGCACCCCAGTGGGGACCTCCACCCTGAAGGGGGTGCGGGCAGCCTGAAAACATCCTTCAGCCCCTCATCCAGGCTGGCCAGGCACCCCAGTTGGGACCCCCACCCTGAAAGGGGTGCAGGCAGCCTGAAAAGAGCCATCAGCCCCTCACCCAGGCTGGCCAGGCACCCAAGCGGGACCCCCACCCTGATCCAGGACACCCTTCAGGGCAAACCAGCTGGCCCCCACCCGTGCACCAGGCCTCTATCCTATATAGTAAAAGGGTAATATGCAAACTGACCCTAACAGCAGAAAGACTGGGAATGACTGGTCACTATGACACACACTGACCACCAAGGGGCAGACGCTCAATGCAGGAGCTGCCCCTTGGTGGTCAGTGCGCTCCCACATGGAGGAGCTCTGCTCAGCCACAAGCCAGGCTGATGGCTGCCAGTACAGCGGTGGTGGTGGGAGCCTCTCCTGCCTCCTCAGCAGCACTAAGGATGTCCGACTGCAGCTTAGGTCTGCTCCCCGCTGGCAAGTGGACATCCCCCGAGGGCTGCCAGGCTGCCAGAGGGATGTCTGACTGCCAGCTTAGGCCCAATCCCCTGGGAAGCAGGCCTCAGCCAGCAGATGGTCATCCTCCGAGGGGTCCCAGACTGTGAGAGGGCACAGGCCAGGCTGACGGATTCCCCCCCCCCCCCCAGTGCACAAATTTTTGTGCACCAGGCCTCTAGTATGAATATAATATAAAATAAAATGAACAGTTAAGTCTCAAATTCTAGGAATAAGAGAAGAATCACAAATAATTTTCTACAACACAGATTAACAATTTGTACATTTATAGCTTATTTGGCTCTGACAAATTGGAGGGGACATGAGCAACAGTGCAAAAGCAATAAGAGTAACAGGCAAAGCTTCAGTGTCAGGAAAGACTAAGTGGTGAGGAATAAAGCCCATCTAAATAGCAAAATGTTGTCTTACAGAAATGCAGGTTAATTGTTAGCAAATATTCAGATTTTAGTTCCAGGACCCCAGGGTCACCATAACCTGCGAATGCTCAAATCCCCTATATAAAATGGCATAAATTCACACCATATTACAAAGCTATAGCAATTATAACATTATGATACTGGCACAAAAATAAACACATAGATCAATGGAACAGAGTTGAGAGCCCAGAAATAAACTCATCCATATATGGTCAATTAACTTACGACAGAAGAGCCAAGAATAAACAATGGGAAAGGACAGTCTCTTTAATAAGTGGTGCTGGAAAAACTGGACAGCCATGTGCCAAAGAATGATACTGGACGACTATCTTACACCATACACAAAAATAAATTTAAAATGGGTTGAAGACTTGAATGTAAGACTGAAACCACAAAACTCTCAGAAGAAAATATAGGCCATAACCTTTCTGACATCAGTCTTGGCAATGATTTTATAGATTTGACACCAAAAGCAAAGGCAACAAAAGAAAGTGGGACTACATCAAACTAAAAAGCTTCTGCATGGGAAAAAAATAAACAAAATGAAAAGGCAACCTACAGAATGGGAGAAGATATTTGCAAATGACATATATGATAAGGAGTTAATAAAAAAATATATAAGGAACTATACAACTCAAAATAAAAAAAAAACCTAACAATCCAATTTAAAAGTGGACAGAGTAAAAAATTTTCCAAAGAAGACATGCAGATGGCCAACAAGCATATGACAAATGCTCAACATCACTAATCATCAGGAAAGTACAAATTAAAACCATGGTGAGAAATTACCTCACACCTGTAAGATTAGCTATTATCAAAAGACAACAAATTACAAGTTTTGGAGAGATTATGGAGAAAACGGAATTCTCATGCACTGTTGATGGGGTTGAATATTGGTAGAACCACTATGGGAAACATGGAGGTTCTTCAAAAAATTAAGAATAGAGTGATCATATGACCAAACAATTTCACTTCTGGGTATCTGCCCAAATAAAACAAAAACACTAATTTTAAGGGGAAAAAAATGGCGTAAATCAATGCATATAGCCTGCCCTCAGCATCCACGGACTCCCAATCACAGAAACAGTACCGTATTTATTGGAGGGGAAATCCATGTATAACTTCACCTGCACAGTTCAAATGCATGTTGTTCAATGGTCCAACTGTATATGGATCTTTTCCACTGGTGCCTTAATATGAGAGCAATGAAACAAAATGTCCTGTTTGAGGGTATGTCCAGCTTTTTTTCTATTTCTTGGAATGCTGCTAAAACATCTGCTTGCCTTGCTTTTTAAAAGTCCGACTGCTTTATAAAAATTAAAGAAACAAAAAACAAAATTCAAGTGCTTTGAATGCGGTAAGAATTTAAAACCATTCACTGTATGCATGAATGACTAGTACATAACTTGGAGACAAAAAATAAATTATCTCAAAACAGGAAATGTCAGGCATGGGTTCCCTGTGGTAGGAAATATATAAAAACCAGAAGTTCAGATGCATCTTGCAAAATGCATGAATGGTGTGTTCTGTCCCTATCTGGGTAAAGAACAGAAACATAATGGTCTTGGAATCACAGCCCAAAGTTTACTTGGATGTAGGGTCGTTAGTGAGGAAAGCCATGCTGTTAAATAATTAAAAACCTCTTTCCTTGTACGCCAATGTTTATGGCAGTTTTATTCATAATCGCTGAAAATTGGAAACATGTCCACAACTAGGGAAGAGATAAACTGTGGTATAACCATGCAATGGAATAGTACTAGGCAACAGAAAAGAACTACCGAGACAAGCAACATGGATGAATATAAAATCATTCTGCTAATTTAAAGTATAACACATAAGGCTACACACACTATGATTCCCGCTCTATCACAGTCTGGAAAAGGCAAAACCTGCAAGGACTGAGATCAGTGGTTGCCAAAGGGCACAGGGAACTTCCCGAGGTGATGGAGATGCTCTCAACCCTGATCCTGGTGGTAGTAGAATGACATTATGTTTGCCAGGCCTCACTGAAGACTACACCTAAAAGGGGTCATTTAACGTATGTCAATTGCATCGGAAGAACTGGCCCCCCCCCCCCCCCAAAAAAAAACACAAACTTTCCCTTTGTGGGGTCCCAACAAAGAGGATGAAACTGGCCCAAAGAGCTGCCAGATGCCCGGGAGGCCGCTGCCGCCGCCGCCGTCGGGGCAGGGAGGGGACTGGGAGGGCAGAGAGCAGGAGGGCAGGGAGGGGGCAATTCCAGACCGCAGCCCCACAGCCAGCCTGGGAGGAAGGTCCTCACTGAGGAGCAGCAGAGATGCCGCAAACGCGCGCTTCGCCGCCGCCGTGACCCCCCCTTCTATGGACCCGACATTGCGCGGGGTTCCTTACCGATGTTCCCTTCGATGGAAATTTTCTTGATGCGGGTTCCCTCCGAGCTGGTCGCGGGAGAGGGGCAGCTCCTCTTGGGTGGGGTGGCCATGCCTCGACAGGGGGCGGCCGAGCGCGTCGGGCTGGTGGCTGGGAAGTGGACACAGGTGCTCGCGCTTCCGCCGCCCTGCAGGCTGGACTCCGGCTAGTCACAGGATCTCGCGCCGGCGGGTCTCCGATTTGATTTTGGCGCGCGGAGGCGGACGCCCGCCCAGAGGGGAGGCCACGCCTCTCCCCGCCGCCGCTCGGAAGGTAAGCTCGGGCCCCTCCGCGTTCGCCCGCCCGCCCCCCAAGGCCGGGGCCGCTGGGCGCTACCGGCAAGGAGAATCCCGCGAGAGCACAGGGCGGGGCCGCGCGCGCGACGACGCAGGCGCGCCGCTTCCGGGGACGCCGCGGGGGGAGCGGGGAGTGAGTGCTTCCGGAGGGGAGGGAACCACTGGCAAAGACCTGGGGGGGGCGGAAGGTTGCAGGGCGCCCAAGGGCAGAGGGTGTTGCCTGCTGTCGTCACCTGGGCTGGGCTCGGGACCTCGCCTCTGCAGTGGGGCTGGTGGAGATAAAGCGTCTCAACAGAATTGGTTGGACTAGAACCTTTGAACTTATCGGGCTGAAGCAATGTGTACTAGAAAATTCAGACACTGGCCTGTGTTCTCAGCCTGGAGGACGAGCATCAGGCTAAGTTCTGCTGGGCAACCCAGCCAGGCAGTTTCCAGCTCTTTTCATGAATTAACTAGCAATCCAGTGCTGAAGATCCCACAATTAGCCCCATTTATCAGTGAGGAAACAGGCACTGAGAGGCTGTTGTTCAAAGTCAGCAAGTGGAACTGGGGTGGAAATTTAGAGCAGAGCAGGCTGTATTAACAAACTTTGTTACTTCTTCACCAATGCACTAACCCAACCCCAAATCATTTGCCTTGTCAAGTCTTCACAAATTTATTGTTTATTTGTCTAAAAGATTAAAAAGCTCCCTACTTTGCCCACTGTGAGTTTCATATTTTTATGGGGCTGCTGTACAAACGAAATAAAATTAGTTTTTCTCCTATTAATCTGTCTTATGTCGATTTACTTATTAGACCAGCTAAAGAACCTAGAAGGGAATAAGGAAAACATTTTTCACCTCTACAATGCTATGTAGAAGTTAACACATTGGGTCTATTTCCGTTCAACATGACTAGAACTTATTTAACTTTGCATGCCCTTATACCTGGCACATAGTTAACAAATAAACGTTGAATTTTTTAATTCAACACAGAGTGCTTATGTGCAATGTACTCTGCTAGAACACTCAGCTAGCTGGAGGCAAATACAGAGTAAAAATTGCCCAGAGGAACTCATTTTTTGATTATGGTAAAAAAAACAAAAACTAAAAAAAAAAGTAGTAAACTAGACACTACTGTCTAGAAGTTATTGAGTTCAAATTACCTACAGAAACCAATGGCCCTGTTATTCTTTTTTACTTTGCAACTATCATCACATTTAAAATGCATCTAAAGGTGGAGTTCAGAAGAAGGTGGGTAAACAGTGAATCATTCTCAGAAATAAAGGGCAGAAATCAAAATGTGATCTCATGAGGAACTCTAGAATAAAAACAGCAAAAATTATTCTTTGTAATTTCCCTATATTCTTTTGTTACTAGAGGCTCAGTGCACAAATTTGTGCATGGAAGGGGTCTGGCCAGCCCACCCTGATGGGGGCCCATCCAGCCAGGCCCTCGGGGGGGAGGGGTCGCAGGCGGTTGGTGGCTGGCCCTGCCCCTGATCGGGGTGTTGGGGGCTGACTGGGGACCGGGTGTACGGGGGGGGGGGGTGCAATTGGGGCTCGGATCAGGCTGGTTGGCTGCCACAGTGCACGTCATAGCCCCCGGTCGTTCTGGTTGTTCTGCCTTTCCGGTCGCTGGGCTTTTATATATATAGACTAGAGGCCCGGTGCACAAAAATTTGTGCACTCGGGGGGGTCCCTCAGCCCAGCCTGTGCCCTCTCGCAGTCTGGGACCCCTCGGGGGATGTCTACCTGCTGGCTTAGGCCCGCTCCCCGGGGGAACGGGCCTAAGCTGGCAGTCAGACATCCCTCTGGCAGCCCGGAGCCCTCAGGGGATGTCCACTTGCCAGCGCGGAGCAGGCCTAAGCTGTAGTTGGATATCCTTAGCGCTGCTGAGGAAGTGGGAGAGGCTCCCGCCACCACTGCTGTGCTGGCAGCCATCAGCCTGGCTTGTGGCTGAGCAGAGCTCCCCTTGTGAGAGCACACTGACCACCAGGGGAAAGCTCCTGCATTGAGCGTCTGCCCCCTGGTGGTCAGTGTGTGTCATAGTGACCAGTCATTCCCAGTTGTTCTGCTGTTAGGGTCAATTTGCATATCACCCTTTTATTATATAGGATAGAGGCCTGGTGCATGGGTGGAGGCCAGCTGGTTTGCCCTGAAGGGTGTCCTGGATCAGGGTGGGGGTCCCACTTGGGTGCCTGGCCAGCCTGGGTGAGGGGCTGAAGGCTGTTTTCAGACTGGCCACAGCCCCTTCAGGGTGGGGAGGGGGGTCCCTGTTGGGGTGCCTGGCCAGCCTGGGTGAGGGGCTCATGGCTGTTTGCAGGCTGGCCACAGCCCCTTCAGGGTGGGGGGTGGGTCCCGCTAGGTACCTGGCCAGCCTGGGTGAGGAACTGATGGCCGTTTTCAGGCTTGCCACGCCCCCCAGTGACTCAAGCTCCCAGCCTCTCCTTTTTTTTCTTTTTTTGGCTGGCTGAAAGCAGGTATCTGGGATTTATTTACCTTCTATAATTGAAACTTTGTAGCCTTGAGTGGAGCCCACAGCCGGCCAGGGCAGGCGGGAAGCTTGGCTTCCTCCATCGTCAGGGGCAACCCAAGCCTCCTGCTCACTCCAGCTCTGTGGCCGCCGCCATCTTAGTTGGGTTAATTTGCATACTCGCTCCTAATTGGCTTGTGGGTGTGGCTTGTGGGTGTGGCAGAGTGACAGTGATGGTTAATTTGCATCTTTCTGTTTTATTAGTGTAGATCAGTGGTTCTCAACCTTCCTAATGCCGCGACCCTTTAATACAGTTCCTCATGTTGTGGTGACCCCCAACCATAAAATTATTTTTGTTGCTACTTCATAACTGTAATTTTGCTACTGTTATGAATCATAATGTAAATATCTGATATGCAGGATGTATTTAGGCAACCCCTGTGAAAGGGTCATTCGACCCCCAAAGGTGTCGCGACCCACAGGTTGAGAACCGCTGGTGTAGATGCTATTATTTTATATGCATTACTTTTGTTTATCCCATAGTAATTAGCAGCAGGATCCCTGAAATGAAAAAGGACTGGATGCTTGTCATCAAGGATGGCAAAGAAGCTAGGAAAGCTACTAGGTGTTTTATTCCACACCTAAGCTTGGGGAAAAACCCATGAAATAATAAGGGTACTGGCAGCTACTGAGAAAGGAGTAAGGCAGGGTGAATCTCTGAGACCTTCAAACAGGAGGAAAGTGGAACTGAAGTCCATATAGCTCCGTTAAAGATGTTTGGGGTTGAGGAGTAAGAATCCCCAAGTGTGGTTTCCACACACATAAAACACATACACACACAAAAGAAATGTAACCGTTTAAGCACGGAAAAATTAAAGACTGCTTTCAAATCCAACTCTGCCAGCTTCTGGCTGTGAGAATTTGAGCTCCTTCAAGCTTAAGAGTGTATCTTGAAAATACAAAGTAAATGGGGGAAACAGAGAACCTAGCTCTCTTGGCACCAAGTTCAGCATAATTTTCCATTTTCCTACATAATTTGTGGATAACACAAGGAAAAGACCAGAGCACACTTTTAAAAGTGCCTTCCTGATTTTTTGTCCACAACCCCTTATCTGAAAGCAATGTAGCCAGATGTTTCAGAATTCACAAATTTTTAGACTTTAGAATAGTCATATACTATACACATTATGTCACCCTCCCTAACCCTCTGGCATAAGTATTAAATACACTAATATTTGGCAGTGACACTAAGATCAGGTTAAGTTTGCACTGAATCAATAAAATACTCTGTTTTCTGAGCTTTTCAGATTTTGGAATTGCAGATAAAAGACACAGGATTGGCCCTAGCTGGTTTGGCTGGGTGGATAGAGCGTCAGCCTGCGGACTGAAGGGTCCAGGGTTCGATTCCAGTCAAGGGCACATGCCCAGGTTCTGGGCTCGATCCCCAATAGGGGGCGTGCAGGAGACAGCCAATCAATGATTCTCTCTCATCATTGATGTTTCTCTCTCTCTCCCTCTCCCTTCCTCTCTGAAATCAATAAAAAAATATATTTTTTTAAAAAAGACAAGGGATTGGAGCATCCAGCCAGTCATAAGCATGCTACTACCTTAACACTTTCTTGCCAGAAATTTTACTAGTCCTTCAATTTGGGAATTCCTTTACTCCTGTGGAAATGTTGGTGAATGAGATAGGGTCCTGACTGATGACATACAAGTTTAACAAAGAAAACTCTAAACCAGGGGTGGGCAACCCTTGGCACGCGTGCCAAACATGGCACGCCAGTAACTTTTGCTGGCAGGCGAAACCCTCTCTTATAATCTTCCATTTACAATTTTTTTCTTAATATCGACTTTTATTTTTCAGATAAATTCAGTGTAGGTGCATCTTAGATAAATTATTTTACATAACAAGTTATCTTAAAGACCATAGACATGGATTGACGAGAGAGGGGAAGAGCAATTTCTATGCCTCTGCCTTAACTCTCCCTGCCTTCCTAGATCCGACCAGTGTTTTGGTTTCATCCACATACGCTTGTGAATCTTTGTTCTCAGTGATGAATTTTGTTAAGTCTCATAATCGGAGTAGCCTGACGGATGAAAGTAGTAGCTCGTGCATATCTCTGAAGGTCACGAAATATAAACCTGATGTAAAATCTGTCATCAGTGATGCAGCAGCAAAAGTCCCACTGATAATATCAAACAGAGTCATAAAGTTTTCTGTCGGACTATCAGTGTACATGTATACATTAAAAAATAAATGTATTTTTCATCATCATATACTGTGTTTTTGTCGCTCGAATGAATTTTATTTCTTCAAGGTTCTTCACATACATACACCTTAAGAGATATCAAGTAGGCGTAACATGTTCTCAAAAAATTAGGGTTGGCACGCAGAAGAATTTTGAGTCAGAGATTTTGCTGGTTTTGGCACGCACTCACAAAAAGGTTGCCCACCCCTGCTCTAAACCAACTCAAAAAATGAGAACAAAGGTAGGAAAAAATAATGGGCCCTGAACATTGGTAAGTAGTGGTTACACATTTGTGTATACCAACCCAACTTTTGTAAAATAATGTCTATCAACTTAATGAGCTTGGTTA